GATTCTCAGGGTGAGGCTGCAGACCGTTTCATAAGCACCGCTTGGAGGCGGGCTGTGTTAGTTTCCTGGGACTGCCATTTTTTTAAATTTCTGTTTTGAAAAAACAGAAATTGGGGGCGGGTATAGCTCAGTGGTAGAGTGCCTGCTTAGCATGCACAAGGTCCTGGGTTCAATCCCTGGTACCCCCACTAAGAAATAAGTAAATAAAATAAATATACCTAATTACCTACCCCACACACACAAATTTTTTTTTAATTGAAAAAAAGAAAAAACTGAAATTGATTCTCTCCCAGTCCTGGAGGCAGAAGTCTGACTCCTGGAGGCCGTGGCAATCCTTGCTGTTCCTTGGCCTATGACAGCGTCACTCCAGACTCTGCCTCTGTCTTCACATGGCCTCAAAGTGTGTGTGTGTGTCTGTCTGTCTGTCTGTCTGTCTTATTAGGGTCCCCCTTAATCCAGCATGGATTGGTATTGGAATACATCTGTAAGGACCCCATTTCCAAATGAGGTCCCATGCATACGTACCTGGGCTTAAGGCTTGAATACATCTTTTTTGGAGGACACAATTCAACCCTCAACAGGTGGGCTGCTTGCAAAATCAGATCCCTAGGACCCACCTCAGGGTTAATGAATTGGGCCTCTCAGGATGGGACTCAAATCTCCAAGCTTCCTGATTATCATAGAAACAAGGTAGAGAGGGGGTAGGGGCAATCCTGGAGGGCCTCTGAGCCCAGCGGGGCAGCAACCCCACCGTCCAGGCCTGGGCCCCACCCTGAGCAGCTCCTTCTTTCTTTAGCTTCTGTGGAAGGCTCTGTCCAGCCACCTGCTCATCCCAGCCCTGGCTGGGCTCAGCCTCTGGTCCCCAGGGTTTCCTTGTCCCTTCATCAGATTCTGAGTGTGCCATCCCATCATTCAGATGTTCTGACGCAGTTGATGAATTTCTAATTAAATGATGGACCACTGGTTACTGGGGTGGGCTAGATGCATAAACTAAATGAAAGGGAAAAAACACCCAAGTCTGGTTAGAATAAAAAGTGAATGCTCTGCTGCGTAGGCTACTGAAAAAGAAAGTGGCTCCTGTCGGTGAACTTATGTAAATCAAGCTTCTATTAATGGCCATGGAGATGGAAATGAAGGTGGGCCCGCTTTTTCTTTCCACTTTTATAAGTGAAGGTCATTTCCCTCCCTGAAGGGAGCAAACAGTGCTGTCACTTTTAAGCCTGGACCCCCATTCACCACCCAACCCCGCAGGAAGATGCTGGCCCCAAGAGCCTCTTTGGGCGGAAGGCAGTTGGCCCCAGGCTCACACTGAAGAAATTGTTGGTTGCAGTTTGCAAATTGGTGCCCCAGAGAGTAGATCGAGCTCTAGATATAGCTTTTCTTGACTTCAGACCAAAGATTTTACATGAAAGACTGTTAGAGGAAAAAAAAGTATTTAAAAAAAAATAGCGGTTCTCATGAAGCTGAGAAAGAGGCACAACTGAGAAAAGATCTGTGGTGGCGAGAACCCTGATTCGGGGAGGCCGCTGCTGGCTGTCTAGACCAGTTTCCCAGCCTGGACCCTGCTGCCAGTGGGGCTGTGTCACCCCTGTTATGGGGGCTGTCCTGTGCGTTGCAGGCTGTCTAGCACTTCCCTGGCCTCTCCCCCACAAGATGCCGGTGGCACCCCCCACTTGTGACAATCAAAAGTGTCCCCAGACACAAAGGTCCCCTGGAGGCGGAATCACCCCTGGGTGAGAACCACTGGTCTAGAGAGAAGTATGCCTGGGGGTCAGAAACTTTTAGGATTCCTACAAAATGTCCCCAGAGAATATCACAGTCTAGTTCCCTCCAACTTTCTGCTCCGTGGGAAGGTTCCTAATCATTGTTTCCAGAGCCAACCCGCCAGGCAGGGCGAGGGTGACGTATGAGGCCGAGGACACTCAGATTTCGTACACCCTTCTCCCTGCCCCCAGCCAAGCACTTCCCCTACACCCTCTTCTTGAAAAGGCAGGTGGATGCCCACCATTCACAGTTCAGCCTTCTCTCCCAAGCGCCCTTCAGAAAGCATCTTTGATCCTAACCACTGTCCTGCAGAATTCAGCATGGGCAAGGCCGGGCCCAGGGGAAGATCTTAGAGGATCTGCATCAACATTGACTCCAGGATCTGCCTGCAAAGCAGAAAGGTTACTCCCAAGCCAAGAGGTGGTATGTGGATGGATGAACGCCTGCTGGGAGTGGCTAGAAAGTGGGTTTGGGTCCTGGGGCCGCTCGGTGCTGTGAGCATCTGGTCTACCTACAGGGTCTCCCTGTTCTGTGGAAGTTCCTGCTTTTCTCTCTAGTTCAGTCCATCCTCTCCAAGTTTAGGATCTGTCCACTGTGACACCTCTTGTGCTCTGGGTCACGCTTGTTGGCCCCCTGCCTCTGACTGTCCCTTTGAGCCAGAGGTTGACCTCCCTGGGTACAGGAGCCCTGCCACCACCCCTGTGGCCCACGTCCCCACGCTGGGTCCGGCCGTGACTGGGATTTTCGCAGCAAGCATCCGGGTCATAGATGTCTTTACTGTGTAACTAATTAACTAACTGACCATAAGGCAATTTTGCCAGAGAAGATAAACTAACGAAAAATAAAAGAGGGATATTTAAAAGGACATAATGAAACATGAAAAATGAATGGCAAAGTTAAAGACTTTATTACAAAATGCAAAATATTCGAATACATTTAAAGTGTGTGCAGGTTCGTGGCAACACTGCGCTAATAACTGACTCAATCTCACAGGCTGTACCTAAGCACTTCTTTCCAAGTCTTTCATGAATAGTATTTTTTGCCTTTCTTTCTTGTTTGCTTGCTTTATTTGCTTTCTCATTCAGCATTACACTTTTTCTTGTTCACTAAAATTTCTTCCTTCATTAAGAGAGGTATCACAGACATTTCTCCAGTGAAGACGTACAGATGGCCAGTAGGCACATGAAAAGATGTTCAGTATCACTAATTATCAGAGAAATGCAAATCAAAACTTCAATGAGGTGTCACCTCACACCAGTCAGAATGGCCATCATTCAAAAGTCCACAAACAATAAATGCTAGAGAGGGTATGGAGAAAAGGGAACCCTCCTACACTGCCTGTGGGAATGCAGTTTGGTGTAGCCACTGTGGAAAACAGTATGGAGATTCCTTAAAAAACTAAAAATTGACTTATCAAATGATCTAGCAATCCCACTCCTGGGCATATTTCCAGAGAAAACTAATTTGAAAAGACACAAACACCCCAAGGTTCATAGCAGCACTGTTTACAATAGCTAAGACACGGAAGCAACCTAAATGTCCATTAACAGATGACCGGATAAAGGAGCTGTGGTGTATATATACTATGGAATACTACTCAGCCATAAAAAAGAATGAAATTATGCCATTTGCAACAACGTAGATGGACCTAGAGATTATCATACAAAGTGAAGTTAAACAGAGAAAGATAAATATCATATGATATCACTTATTTGTGGAATCTAAAAAGACACAAATGAACTTATTTACAAAACAGAAACAAACTTACAGATGTAGAAAACAAACTTGTGGTTACCAAAGGGGAAGGGGGCAGATAAATTAGGAGCTTGGGATTTGCAGATACTAACTACCATATATAACACAGAAAAACAACCAAGTCCTGCTGTATAGCACAGGGGATTGTATTCAATAGCTTGTAATAACCTATAACGAAAAAGAATATGAAAAAGAATATATATATGTATAACTGAATCACTATGCTGTACACCAGAAACTAACACAACATTGTGAGTATATTTCAATTACAAAAAAGAGGTATCAACTTCCAGACACTAGGATGCATATTTGTAACAGGCCTGTGTTGCCTTGGGAAAACCTTCTACACTGTCTTGTGCTCTTGGCACATTGTCACGTCTGTTGATAGACGTTCCAAAGTTCTACGGGAAAAACTCTGTGCCTTCAAATCACCAAAGGGTTTGCAAACTGATATGTTATCATTTTCTAGTATAATATGCCATCTGGCTTTATACTCTCATTTCACACTTCCAGTAAGTTTTATCGCTGCATTTTCTATCAAGTCAATATTACAAAGCTGTTATCATCCACTATTTTCAGACTGTCACGCCTGTACTTGTCACTGTATAGAACATCATGAGGACTAAGATTTCTGTAATATAAACATGGGAGTCCTGCATCAATGGAGAAATGATACCAAACTGTCAGCCAGTTATTTTATCTTTCATGGCAAAATTGCCTTACCACCAATTAGATACACGGTGAAAATGTCTGCAGTGAAGATGCTTACAGGGAAAGTAGTTTCTCTTTTCTTTCCTTTTTAAAAAATTGAGCTGAAATTCATATAACACAAAAATCAACCACTTTAAAGGGATAATTCAGTAGCATTTAGTCCATTCGTATTTCCCAAAAGGAGACCCCCATCCCTTCAGCAGTCACTCCCCACTGCCCCTCCCCCAGCCCCTACTCACCACTAATCTGCTTTCTGTTTCTGGGGGATTTTTTTCCTTCTGGATATGACACATGAATGGAATCATACACTACCTGGCTCTTTGTGGCTGACTTCACTCAGTAGAATGTTTTGAAGGTTCATCCAAGTTGTAGCCTGTGTCAGGGCATCATTCCTTTTGATGGCTGCATACTATTCCGTCATAGGAATGGACCACGTTTTATTGATCTATTCATCCACTGATGGACATCTGGGCTGTTTCTGCCTTTGGGCTGTTGTGAATAGCGCAGCTGTGAACACGTGTGTACAAGTATCTGTTAGAGTCCCTGTTTTCGATTTTTTTTACTATATGTCTAGGAGTGGAATTCCTGGCTCATATGGAAATTCTTTAATTTTTTGAGAAACTGCAAAACCAGCATTTTCTCAAGGTGCTTGGTAAGTCTTGGTTTCCAACCTTCTCCTCAGACTGTCTCACCTTCTAGAAGTCACCCCTGGGACCTTGATTGCCTACAAAGTCCTGGAGCTTTACCCCAGAGGCTGCCGAGTTCTCATAATGTGCCACTCACCCGGGGCACCCCAGCCCCTCACCTACTCCCTCTGGGGCAGTGGGGACATTGAGGTCTTCAAGAAGGTAGTGACAACCTCTGACCCAGCCTCCTTCAGCATCGACATCATGCTCAAGTCCAGGCCAGACTGGCTCACCTGCTTCCGCCAGGCGGCCTCCAGCTGGGGCACACAGGCGCCCAGCACCAGGCTGCAGTTGTACGGGAGCTGTGCGAGGGAAGGGGGCCTGTGGGATGCAGGGTCTGGAAGATAAATAGAAGCTGCTGGGGTGGGAGTCGCAGGGACTGGGGTCTGGGACTTAGAGGGCTGAAGGCAGGAGGGTGGGGATGGGACAAGTTGCCTGCCTCCAAGAGTCACTCTGGGTCCCTTAGGGCCTGGTCACAGACCAGTGTGGTTCCTGGCTGGGCCCCCAGGGCACAGTCTCCTGGCGGGGCCTTAGGGGGCCGCAAAGAGGGTGTCGAGGAGCCCTTGGATGGAAGTGACCAGGGCCTGGGCCCCATTTGACCTCTGATCTCAAGCTGGTGAAATAGGCACTTTTTGTGCCTTATCTAGTTTAATCTTCACAGCAGCACGAGGTTGGAGTTCGTGGCCTCTGGAAGGGGCAGCTAAAACTCTAGAGTAAAAATGTTGCCCCAGGCCTGCAAGTGGCAACAGATGATTCAACATCCCGCTCTCTGGACCTTCAGAACGGCGTCCTTCCCAGTGCTGTCCTGATCTCAATTCAGGCATCCTTCCCAGTGGGAGGCATGGGGGGTGGGAAGCAGAGAGTGTTGCGCAATTATTGGTGGGACTGTGACCCCCCTGGACCCACAGGGAGGAGATGGCCTAGGGAGGAGAGCCCAGTCTGGGCATGACAGGTGCAGGGTTCAAGTCTCCACGTTCACAGGCTGAGGGGTCGTGGGCAAATCGCCCAGCCTCCCTCGGCCTCTGGCTGCTTCATCTGCAAAGCGAAGGTAATAACAGTACTTACATCCCCTCCTCCCTGCTCTCAGCCCATCTCCCGCCACTCCAGAGGGTAGGAAGAACCCAAGGGAAGCTTTTAGTAGGTCTTATGTCTGTTAAGAGGGGTGCTGGTTGTTACTCAGAGGTAATAGAGCATCAGGCTGACAGCCCTGGAGAATTCCAGAATCTTCTAAGTGACAGTTCTTGTCCTGAAGAACATGTGTTTCAGCATGTATTCCAGTAAAAGAATCAAGACTGAAAGGATATAAATAGGGCTGCTAGATACATTTTGCATAGGACATACATTCAATTTTATTCACTGTTAATCTGAAATTCAAATTTAACTGGGTATCCTGTATCTTCAGCTGCTAAGTCTGGCAACCCAGAATATACTACACAAACATAAAAACAAATGTGAAATTGTACAGTGAGGTAAGATAGAAACTCATACACAAGGCAGAGGGAGTAATCCAGAAGGCTTCCTGGAGGAGGCAGCCATCACAGTTAGGCCTCAAGGCTCATAGGCATTGTGTAATGAGGGAATGTGCAGGGGAGAGGGTGTTAAAGTCTCCCAACCATGTCTGTGTTCCCACCCTTTCCCGCCCTGCCAGAGCCCGTGTCCCAGCTGCAGGCTGACTTCACCCTGCTGGACAGAGGATCAGGCCCCAGGGTAGAGGTGTACTGCCAGGCAGCCTCAGGCAGCCCACCCATCACCTACCACCTGGTCGAGAGGGACGAGCACATCTACATGTGGCAGAGACCAAACGATGGGCAGCCTGCCAACTTCTCCTTCCCACTGACCCAGCTGTCGCACTGGTTCCAGTGCCAGGCTGCAAACAACATCAGTTTCCAGTGCAGCGCCTTCAAGCTGGTGCCCCCAGGTGAGAGGGGGACACCTGGCACCTCTGGGTGGGTCAGCGGGAGGTGGCAGAGCTCCCCCTGGCCCCCGCCAGGGGCAGGGAAGGGCGTCCTGAAGCGGCCGTGTCTACCCTGGCCCAGACTAAAGCAAGTCAAGCCCCGCCCGGCCGCCCCCGTCTCCCTCACAGGACAGCTGCCCCATGGACCCATCTTCCTGCTGGCTGGTGTCATCTTCATCACAGCTATGGCTTCTTGGAACCTGGGCTGGATGATGTGGATCAGGTAGGAAACGGGTGCTGGCTGGAGGGAGGGGCGAACTGCACAGGGAGCAGCCGGTGGTGGGTTGGGAGGGCAGAGAAAGGGCCATATTGCTGATGCATGACTTGCAAAAGCTTATTAAGGGACTACCCTGTGCCAGGTGCCTGCGGATATATTCCTGGCTTTATCTTACCCTGCCCAGGCTCCCAGCCACCTTGCAGTGGAGCCTGCTGGCCTCTGGGTGGGGCCTGCTCCCACACTGCCTGTTGGTCTGAGGAAGACAATGCCTCTCGGGGACCAGGGTGGGCTTCTGCCCTCCAGGGGAACCCCATGGGTCAGTCTTACCCAGCTGGTGACCAGAGGCAGGTACAGGTCTCCTCTCCAAGGCCATTACTTCACTGACTTGTAAAGTGACCAGGGCCTTTGCACTGTCCAAGCCCCAGCGCTGCAGGCCTCTGTGTGCTCCACCTGCCTGGCCTTTGGCAGCAGTCACTTCTGCCTCCTGAACTTCTTGCCTCTCTTGGCTCCTGAGACACCGCTGTCTCCTGGTCCTCCTCCTCTCTCCCTGGCCAGCCTTTTCAGTGGGCTTGTCCAGAAGTCTGTCCTCAGCACTCCAGACCCTCCTCCCAAGTCTCTGTCCTCTCCGGAGGCCAGGCTCCAACGAGCCATGTCCCCTCTCTGAGCCTCAGTTTCTCCTTCTATAACATGGGGTATAGAGACCAAGGGCCAGTGCTTGCCCTGCTGGTGATTCAGTGCCCCCCTTTATTAGTGGGGTGACTAAACCCCACACCCCTCCTCCTGCCCAGGGCACTGATGCACTTGGGCACCATAAAATTCCTGGAGGCCTTGGGAGGGCATGGCTGGGAAGTGTGCTGGCCTAACCTGGAGTCTCAATTCCTTTGTCCTCAACGTTGTGACCAGAAGACAGAGGCCCATAGTGGAGCTCTGGTCCTGGCGCCGTATGGGAAGAGCCGCTGTCTGAATGAAGAAGCCACCAGTCTGGATTCTTGGAGCCCGGTGTTCTTCAGCAAACACACATCGTGCTAGTTTAAGGGTTTTAGGATGGGGTGGTGGCTTTAGGGGGAAAGGGGGTCCAGAGGAAGGAGGAGGCTCTGTGAGGGCCCCTGTCCTCCCCCATCAGCTGCTGGTCACCGTCCATCTATCCAGGTCTGGGAAGCAGGTGGGTAGAAGAGGCCCAGCTGCACCAGCCCTCCCAGGGCCACCTCCTCCTCCCCACCCCTGCTCCCCTCTTCCCTGGAGTGGCGACCATCTCCTGGTGGCCCAGTCTTCTGGCTCCAGCACTCACCTCTCACTGTCCAGCTCACCTGGACGACTCTGGGCCTCACCTGGCCAGCACCCCCTCATTAATCCTACCTCCAACTAGGCTGTCTGGAATTCCTCCCTGCCGAGACAGCGTAAGGCCCCTGCAGAACCACCCTCCACCCTCACAGACACACACCCAGAGCCTTCCCAGTTTGGACGCTTGGAACCATTTCCGGAAAGAACTGGAATAAACTCTGCTCCCTGCCCGTCACCCTGGGAACTCCGTTTCTGTCTGCACACTATCTTGGGAGTTTGTTGTCTCAAGACACACAGCCCTTCACAGCCTTGGGGCCGGGCCCAGCCCGGGAAGAACTGGGAGGGGCGGTGGTTCGACCCCATCCCAGGCTTAGCTCCAGAGAGGAGGAAAGAGTGACAGGCCGGGCAGGGAAGGGTCCAAGCTGTGGCCTGGGGTTTGAGTAGAATAGGGGAGGAGAAGGGAAAGGGTGCAGAGGAGCCGGGTCTCAGGCAGGTGGGACCCAGACGGGCGCCCGGGGCCCTTCCCGGAGGAGGCGGGAGCGCAGGGGCAAAAGGTAGTTGGGGCAGAGGGGCGGGCCCTCTGTGCGTCCCTCTCTTCCTGAGGGACTCTCTGGCCTGTTTCCGGTCGCGCCGGGGGCCAGCATAGCTGAGGGACTAGATCCCGGTCGAGAGGTAGGCTGCACAATGAGTCGCGGCCGCCGGACGCGTGTCGGCCACTGGAAACGCAGGCCAGTCGGGGCACTCCTGCACCGCCACTCGCCGTGGGCGGCACTTTGCCCTCGGTCCCTGGGGAGGCGCTGGCCACGCCCCTGGGGAGGGGCC